GTGTTTGTAATACTGTTCAGATATGAAACTCTGGAAGTTCACTGAGTTTTGTTTCACCATAAGATAGCACTATTTGCTATTTAGAATATATTTTTTGAGACCTCTGAATCTAAAAGTAGTCTAAGAGATAGCTCTCAGCTGGTTTTTTTTTTTTTTTTTTTTTTTTTTTTTTTGTGAGCATAGTTAGCCAAGTGGCTGAGGCTGGCCTTGGACTTGCTAACCTTCTGCTACAGAGGGCCAAGTGCAAGGGTTGAGTCCCTCCATTTATCTCATTTTCTATTTTGAATCCTTTTAGAAAATGAGATAAATTGGGTAGCCATTGTTTATGTCATGTTTNGAGACCTCTGAATCTAAAAGTAGTCTAAGAGATAGCTCTCAGCTGTTTTTTTTTTTTTTTTTTTTTTTTTTTGAGCATAGTTAGGGCAGTTGGCCTACATGGTAGGATTGACATTGCCATTCTGATACAGAGGGATTTGTGCAAGGGTTGAGTCCCTCCATTTATCTCATTTTCTATTTTGAATCCTTTTAGAAAATGAGATAAATTGGGTAGCCATTGTTTATGTCATGTTTGAGGCTGTTTCTCTCCACTGTAAACTAAACCTCAGACTGACTTGACTTTAACAACAGAGTAAATGATAATAATACAGTTTTTATTTTCTTCCTGAAACATTGAGAGTTTATTCTACTCTAATTGAGCACATCCTTTTTGTGAGGTGTTAGGAACTGGTGATCATTATTTTATTGCCTAGATTGGGGAACTTAAGTGTTTATTAGTTTGCTTGAATAAATCCAAGATAGGATTTTGAATTTAGGTTTCAGGTTTTACAAAACCAAGCTAGACAGTCATTTTCATTAGGTTAAAAAGAATATATACTTAAATATTTAAGCAGTTTTAAGAAGATTATTTGATGTTCTTCAATTCTTGGTTTTAGTGGTTGGATATTGTAATGTTTCATATAGTACATCCATTGGCTGGATTTGGACCATAGACAGTATGAAATTGTGGGTTTTGGAGGAAGGGAGAGAAAGAGTCTGACCTTTGCTAGTGTGCATGTATATTGGGCAAGAAGAATTATACTTTTCCTTAAAAGATGAAGACTCCAAACTTGCCAATATATTGGATTATTATAAAAAATATTTTTCTTACCTCAGTGAAGAAAAATGTTCATATCCAAATACTCATGTTATTTATTATATTATGGAATGAAGAGATCACTATACAATATTGCTGAAACAAAGCTGAATTTTATACTTCCTAAGCAAGGGAGAACTATGCTTGGAGAATACTGTCCTCCTAGAAGGCGAAAAAACATGTTCTTATATAAGGTTTTGAGGAAGCATGGAGTTTTAAGATTGGATGATTTTCAAAAGTCAGACAGTTTAAGGATTGGATGATTTTAAGCTTGGAGTTTAGAGACTGACTGACTTTGAGAAGGTTACTGAATCCAGGAAGTTGCTGATTGGCTTTCTGATGACTATTGAGGAAAGATTGTATGAGGGTATGGCGGAGATTAATTCTTTGTTATCTAGTTCCTCCTCCTTTCATTCTACAATTAGAACCCCGGTCGTTCAGCTGGCAGCATGGTTACCCACTCTAGGTTTCATCTTTTTCTGATGACAGGTATGACTGCTTACGTTTGGGCCAATTATATATGAACAGAAGTGAAATATGCAGTTCTGGATTGGCTTTTAATGGTGCTTGTCCTGGATTTCATCTGCCGATTCTCTTTCCTCTCCCACTGACTGGAAAGCAGCAAACAGAATGGCAACAACTGTCTTGAACTCAAATAGAAGCCCTGTCCTGAGGATATCAGCCCTAGATGACCTTGTGGAGAAAACTAACTACTACTAGCTCTCCCCCCAGCCACCTGTGTATCTCCATGTTGTTTCATGGAAGAGAATTCATTTTTTTTGTTTGTTTGAGCCATTGTATTTTGGTATCACTATTACAACTGTTTAGCCCATACCCTATAAAATGCCAAAATTTAGTACTTGAAACAGGTTACTCCATAATAAAAAGCTTAAATGCATGGCATTGGCTAAGTGGTTGTCTGACATACATTGAAAAAAGTCAAAAAAACCACTGACCCTTAATTGTATAGTGGTAAAATATTTGGTGAAATTGTCACCTTTGAGAATTTTTATAAGGCATCAATTTCTCTATCCAGTCTATATCTCCAGGGAAGTAGTTAGAAAGAATCAGATTACTAATACCAGTTGAGTCTGCTTGCTTCTTTAGTGAGGATTATAAGAGGGCATCAAATAAGGGGCCAGTTAGTTTGTATTTAGAGTTCAAAGGGATTCTGTAGTTTATAGCTATTGAAGTTTCTTTTTTCCCCCCATGGTCTGTAGTCTGAACTGACTGTAATGTGGGGCATTGCAGGGTTGGAAAAAATTGCTCCTGTGTGCCAAACAGTAAGAGGTAAGCTTGTCATTCTCAAAAACCTTCTGCTAGATTTTCTTGGCTCAACCTTGGAAGCTTTTGGAAGCTAGTCCAGGCAAAAATTAAAGTAAGGATTTGCTTTTTCACCTGAACCAGTCAGTTGAACTAAGTAAAAACTACAGTTTCAAATACAAAGTTTTAATTCCCTATAACAATAAAGGTGTATTTCTTACTCATGATATGTTGGCTGTGGCTATGTTCCACATCATCTGTTACACCCAAGATTTAAGCCGAAGAAACACTGCCATTTTTTGGTGGGGGGACATTACCATTTTTGTGACAGGGAAAAGAGAAGTGGCAGAACCAGCTTCTTGTGACTTATTAACTTTTGTTTTTGTTTTATTGGCCAAAGCAAGCCAAATGACTAAGTCTGAAATCAATCTGGTAAGAAGAATGTCTCAAGTCACATGGCCAACCCTGATGTCATTGAGGTGGAAAAATCCTCTTGGTGTGAATCAGATGACTTCAAGGCAGCTAGCTGTAAATCAAGAGAAAGAGGGATAGGTCTGCCACTGATGTCAGAAAATAAAGAATAGAGTTGACAAGTTTAATATCTATGACAAACAAAATCTTTACTCCTGGTTACTTTCATGTGGCACTGACAGAAGACAGACAGACATATTGAATTTTTGAGATGATTATGTTGTCAGAAATCCAAAACGTTTGGTTTGCAAAAGCCTGTGTTGTTTTGATGTTGTTTGACACTTAGTAGTCAATAATCCTTAGCTCCCAAATTTGCACCAGCAGGAAGTAGGCAATTGGATCTTTGATTCCGTGTTGAAGCATGTTCTCTTTGTGTCCACTTCATATACGGCCAGAAAGAATAATGGAAAAGAATCTTTCAGTGGCCAAGACAGGGCTCTCAAAGATAAATGGAAAAGGAAATTCTCTTCAGAGACCAGAACCTGAATTTAACCAAAAAAACTTACAAAAAAAGCTAGAGCATGGATTCTTTGCAATTCTTTTCCAACAGTATTTCATTGTTGATAAAATAAGGTATTTGGTATTCTTTTCAGAATGTAAAACTTAATTGTATTTGACCACTGAGTATTGGATGTGATGGTGATAGTAAATAGCAAAGATTACTACTCTATTAGTGTATAGGTCACTGGATAGAGAAGGAGCCACATGGATACCTGTTGAAGAGGGTTGTCATCACCCAGAGATTCTAGACTTTGAACAGATTCTAGTAATTGAGTGGAACTTCCAATTAACTCATGTGAAAGGAGATGACTGTTGCATAGGGGGAAGAAGGATGCACTCCCATCTCTGATATTTAGCTAGGCATGTAGGTCCCTCCTACCCTCCCTACCTCTCTCTCTATATAAATCTTATTTATCAGGCTCCTTATTGCTAGATAAAGTCACTAAGCCAGTTTCTAAGTTTTGGCAGTAGGGTGAGAGTGGAGCTGTGATGTATGCTACTTTTAAAGCACATTAGTAATAATTAAAAAAAAAAAAAACCTGCTTGTCTGTCATTCTCTTTTGCCCATCTCCTTTCCTGTCCATGAATTGTTCGTGAGCTAGCCAGCAGTGGTGGTACCCCAAGGAGAGGTGAGATGAGACATGTGGGACCTTAGTCTCTGAATGACCTTGCAGAGCAGAGCTATTTCCCTCCCCTGGACCACTTGTCTGAGCCTGTACTGTCATGAAAGAGAAATGAACTCCTCTTTTTTTTTTTTTTTTTTTTTTGTAGTCATTGTGTTGTTGGTCTTGTTGTATAGCATTTTAGCCTATATTTTAATTGATACAGATGACAATGCTTTAAGTGATAAACAAGCATAGGAAGTTAGATTTGTAATTATTCTTGTGTTTTTTTTTTCAGTTGAAGTTTTTCATTTTTACATTTTTTGGGGTGATGGTACTGAGGATTGAACTCAGGGACACTTGACCACTGAGCCACATCCCTAGTCCTATCTTGTATTTTATTTAGAGACAGGGTCTTACTGAGTTGCTTAGTGCCTCACTTTTGCAGAAGCTGGCTTTGAATTCACCAAAACCTCCTGTCTCAGCCTCTTCAGCTGCTAGGATTACAGATGTGTGCCACTGTGCCTGGCTCATTTTCACCTTTTATGAAAATTTATTTTTCAAATTTTTCTAATTATTCAAATAGTTTAAAAATGAAGAAATACTATTAATATCCTTATTATAATTATGTGTCTTCCTTTTCATTTTCATAAGTATATTTTATATATTTATATTTATTTTTTTTATCCTGATAGTTTCACATGGTGTCTATTTTGTTACTTTATTAGAGTTCTTACTCTTGCAAGTTATTGTTACTTACAACTGAGTTTTTTCATATTTAAAGTTTTTTATTGTTTGTTACTATGGACCCAATCCCCCCCTCCCCCCAAACTCATGTGTTAAAGACCTCACCTGCCATGTAACAGTATATCAGAGATGGGACCTTTAAGAGATAATTAAGTTAAATAAGGTGGTAAGGATGAAGCCCTGATCAGATGAAATATTCTTAATCTTAAAATGTTTGTTTCTTGGCTTCTGTGACATTATTCCTTCCTGATCTTTTTTCCACTTTTTGTGTCTTTTCTGTCCAGAAGAGGGCCCTAACCAGAAACTGACCATGTAGGCATCCCAGCCTCCAGAACTGTGAGACAGTAAGTTTCTGATGTTTAGACAATCTTGTTAAGTTTCTGTTGCTGTGGTGTCTTGAACTGATTACAACAGAGCCCAGGCTTTTGACTATTACATCACATAGACTTTTTTTCTTGGATCATACTGTCAATAGCAAGTGGGACTCGGAAGAAGAAGCCAAGAAAAGTAGAAAGAACATCAAGAAGAAATTACACGAGACAAATATTTTGAGGTTAAAGATGCTGGTATTGAATTAACAAATACCAATAATTTGTATGAATTTTCAGTTAAGAAGTCCTCTGTGCTTTTGGGAGAGCAGTTTTATGCTCGTAGGCAACATACAGGTTGAAGAGGGTTAAGTAGTGGATGTGGGAGGACAATAAATATAGCTTAAGCTCTTTCTGAGACAGTTGGCTGTGAAGAGAAAGGGGCAGGTAGGACAGTGGTAGGAGAGAGACATAAAGTCCAGGGTTGTATATTAGTCTCATTTGTTCATTTGTTTTATGATAGAGATACTTATGTGCAGAAAGGGAAAATTTGAAGAGAAATCAAAGACTTGTAGTGGGTAAGTGGATAAATCCCTAAGAAGGTGGATGACTTGAGTTCCAGGACAGTGATTAAAGGTTAGCTTTGAACAGGAAGAGGGACACCCTTCCTCCATACTGCCAGGAAGGAGGTGAGAATGTGTGTGGTTGTTCCTCAGTGAGGGAGGAAACCAAGGAAGTCTGACCTAATAACCTTTCTTTTGTTTCTGGGGAGGTGATGTCATTTGCTAAGTGAAAGGGGAGTAGGAAACTTGAAGAAAGTGGTGGAAGTTTGAAATTGATTGTGTGGGAAGTAAGGGAGGGAGCTGATAAGGAACCCAAGGAAGGATTGATGGGAGCAGTGAGACGGGCTGAGATAGGAGGCCATGTATATGCAGAGTTCTCACTCCTTGTGATGGGGGCTTTTATAAAAGTGATCTCTAGTCCAGATGTGAGAAGTCCATCTTTAGGTTTATCCTTAGGTGTGTAGTAGAAGGACAAGCCAACAAGAGAGTTAGGAATGTAGGGCCAGAAAGTGGGCAAAACCTGGCACTCAGATCCTAGGTTATACTGGATAAGCAGTGAAGTTTGGAGTATAGATAAAAAGTTGGGAAAAAGAAGGGAGAGAAAGTGGATAAAAACTTGAAGCATAAAGAGATTTAAGATCAGATATGGTTCAATTGATCATTCATTCATCCACACAATAAATATTAATTAAGCACTTATCTCCTAGATACAGTTTGAGGTGCTATGGCTACCTAGATCAAAACAGAGCTCAGTTCTGGTAGGAGAGTACATCACACACAAACACACACACACACACACACTTACACGCGTGTAAATTTCAGATGGTAAAAAGGTATTACAAAGAAAAATGAAAAAGAAGAAGCGATAGAATGATATAGACACTGTTTTGAATAATGTGTTCAGGGAAGAGGCTCTCAGATGTGAACTCTGAGCAAACACTTAGATATCATCAGATACACAGCAATGCAGATGTCTAAGGAAGAGTTTTCCAGGGTAAAGAAATAGCACTTAATCCCACAAAGACTTGGTGGGGCTTTGCTTGAGGAGCATCCATGGTACTGGGAGGTATGAGTGAGGAGAATGGTAATCAACTAGGGGCATGATTAGTGGTAATCAATAGGAGCCAATGAAAGGATTTAGGATTTTACCCATGTCATGGGTAAGCCATTGGAAGGTTTCAGACAGAGGGGTGACACCATCTTTCTTACTTTGCTGAAGGCTCACATTGGCTGCTTTTTGGAGGATTGGCGATAGAAGTCTAGGAGGCAAGAGATTGCAGTCCCTAAGTAACATGCTGGAGTTGGATTTCAGCAGTTGAATGCTTCTGGGTGAAGAATCCCTTTGCTGCTCCTTTAAGCAGAGGCAGTTGCTCCACAATAGGCATTCTTTTCTGTGGATAAAGACCTGACCCTGGCCTTTGGCGAATGMCGCACCCTTTCCTGTTTTTGAGGGCTCCTCACCCACTTCATTATTCATTCTCCTATTTGTCCTCACCTTGTCTTTTCAGATCTGATGTACATCTTGTCTTCCTGACCAAGAGGTCCTTTTTGTTTCTTTTCCAGACCCTTTTTATCACAGTCTTCAGAAAACATACCTGGAAGTTCAGTGTATAAACCAGGGGGAAGTGAGGGGAATGGGGTTGCTCACTTGCAGTTGTCCTTTGACCCTGCAGCAACTCAGACACCTCCAGAAAAGCCCAAGCCTCCCAATTCACAGTGTGGAAAAGCCCTGCATTGAACTGTGACATTGCCTTTCTTGTACTAAGCCATATCTGGGATCACCTTGAGTCCTGCTTTTCTAGCTTAACCTGTACCTTCATAATCCTTAGGCACCTAGCTTACTAAATAGTGGCATATGCATCTCCTGGTACAAGATGGTGCGTGGAGGGCACTCAGAACCATGAGGGAGGCATGGTGCATCTTCCTGTGTGTTTGTTACTCACTGGCTGTTATTTATTAAATTAGTTCAGTAAATATCAATGTAGCTTCAATTATAAGCTATGGGTTCTATCATTCTCAACAAATTTTTTTATTGACCATAATTAAGGATAGTAAATATTTTTATAACAAAAGAAAATAGATGTAATTTAGTGAGTAATATTTGTGTGGATCTTAAAATAATTCTACAATATCAAGAAATTTGCATTTTGCATGGGCCACTTATGCCTTCTCTTTCCTGGGGATGATTAGGTCTTTCTATGTTAGGAACACTTTATTATAAATGGTTAGAACTACCTTTTTAAGTTGTTGAATTTATAATACTGTATTTTTTATGTTTAATGGAGCTATTATAACATTTTTATTCAGTATGGAATTGGACACTGCCATGATTTAGACTATGAAACATCAGGGTTTTCTGGCTAAAGGTAAAAATATAAGTATTTTCTTTTAATTAATTTTGATAAATGCCATTAAATCAAGCACTGCTGTCTTACAAAATGCTTTGTAAGAACCAGATGATGGCCTCGTAATTGGAATAGTACTCAAAATAAGGTTGTCTTAGGTCACAAAATAAGTTTCATGCTTTGGATTTTTAAAAGATAGGGTATCATGTGTGTTGTCCTATCCTCTCAAGAAACTCTATGATGATTCCTGAGTTAAGGATATATCTTCAGATACTAGAATAAAAACTTTCTTTGTCAGGACTGTTTACCTTTAGGGAATTAATTTAGGGATAGGGGTTTTGCATAACTGCCAAATTATGAAACTAATGAGGACAAGAATTTGGTTATGTTCATTGATAAATCCTTTCTCTCACTCAGACCTCCCAGTGTCATGGATGCTCCTCAATAATATCAATAGCAGGTATTTAAATGCTCGGCATTCACATGTTACACTTAATACTTTTTTAGTGAATRAATGAACCATCTTTGATATAGCTGTGGAAGTGATGTTGTCTGGTTTTAGATACAGGAGAGCTTTAGGATTGAAGGAGGGAGCCTTCCTAAGTATGGAGTCACAATGATGTAGCTGTCACTACATGACCTCTTTAAACTAATAGAAATAGCAACACAGCTGTAAGTTTTCTTTAGAGTCTGACTGCCAGTTGTCAAGATTGTTTAATTATATGACATACCAATTCTGTCTGCAAAGTGGGGACCTCTGTTAGGTACTTTATCTATAGCAATACAGAATCTGTTGGTGCATGTAACTGCTCTGAGATTAGGTGAGGTACATAGAACGGGATAAAGTGCTTGTAAATCATGAACTTATGTCCAGAGTTTATTTAAAAAATAAATAAAAAAAAACTTCTTACAACTCAATAATAAAAAGATACTCAAGTAAAAATTTCTGAACAGATGTTCCTCTAAAGATGATATACAAATGGCTAAAAGCACATGAAAAGATGCTTAGTGTTAATTAGTCACAGGTAAAAAACAAATCAAAACTACATAGGATACCATACTAAACCCACTAGTTGACTGTTATCAAAAATAGTAACAAGTAACAGATAATGATGTGGAGAAATTGGAACCTTCATATGTTGCTGTAGGGAATGTAAAGGAGAAGCTGCTTTCAAAAACAGCTTGGCAATTCTTCAAAAGGATAAAACACATTACCCAGCAATTCCACTCCTAGGGATCTACCAACGATACATAAAAATAAAAAGGCACACAAAACATGTACATAGACATCCAGAGTGACATTATTCTAATAATGCATAGTTAGTAAAAACCTAAATATCTATCAGATGAATAAATAAACAAAATGTGTTTTATTCACACCATGGAATATTATTCAGCATTAAAATGAACTGTCATGTGCAACAACATGGATAAATTTCAAAACATTATGCTGAGTAAAAAACTCAAGACACAAAAGGCTATGTGTTGTATGATTTCATTTATATAAAATGTTCAGAGCAGGCCAGTCAATAGATTAATGAGTTGGAAGGGTTGGAGGGGAGGAGTGCACAGTGACTGCTAAATAGGTAAAGTTTCTTTTTGAGATGAAAATGTTCTAAAATTGTGGTGATGCTTTCCCAATTCAGTGAATATATTACAATTGCTATATTGTATACTTTAAAAGGGAGAATTGTATGGTATGTGAATTATACATCAATAAAGCTATTAAAAAAAGAATAAATGAGATAATATGTGGGCATATACTTTGAGTTATTTAAGAAGATACAATTATTATTTTAGTTTGACTCTGAGGCTTTTAATAGTAGCAGGATGACTTAGATGTTTTTCCTGACTTGCAAGCCTGTGATTTTTATGCCATGACTCAACTTTATAAGGCTGTAACTCAGTAATATAAAATATTGAAAATGTTGAAACATAGAAGGAAAACTGCTTGGTCTACTATTTTTATTTAATAGGATTTTCTGAATCAGTTAATTAGCAGTAAGTAGAATATGTCATTTTAAGGAATTAGATTTTAGATTCATAAAATTTTAGAGCTAGAAGGAACTTCAGAAGTCATCTATTCTTGGCTTTCTCATTTTGTTTTGTGAGAGAACTGAGACCTTAG